GGCAAATATCGATCGTTTACTTTCTATTCCTATTCCTTACCAACAATAACTTTTTTTTACTTAAGTTCATCCGATACAAGCCCCAAGAGCCACTGAAGGTAGAGTCACTGTTTAAGATTGATGTAAGGGTGTTGTTGCACATTATAAGGATATGTGGGATAGATATCGATTGACCATAGACTTGGAGATGTTATTATTGTAATGGTTGGGGAAGCATCCTCTCAGGAATCTATTCCACGGAGTAACTTCTGGGGAAAATCTGTCTGGTTGGAACTTCCTCCTTACCATAAGAATACGAAGTTAATGGGGATGATTTGGCGCTGTGAGCAAAGCATGGTGGGTTCCAAATGTGAAGGTCTGAACTGGTGAGACTGTAGTCCGTTTTAAATTTTCCATAGCAGTAACGATAGAGTAATGAGAGGGTAGGGGTTTCAGTGAGGGAAATAATTCATCACCCACAAGGACGCGTAAGCGCTTTTGAACTCGACTAAAACGGGGAAGTGTTGAGTAGGCAGAACCAGTCTATATATGATAGCAATATTCCATTTTTGGTCTGACTTGTTCCTTGTAAGGACAGAACATGGCAGTATAGATTGGATATTTTCTGGGAAGATACAAGAAACCGACCATTCTTCAAGCGTCTTTAGTAACGACACGAATATATGAGTTCCATTTGTTGCCTGAATTGAGTTTTAGACGCAATAGCGTTTCGAGGCAAGGAGCCTCATTTAAAGGTCTAACCGCTCATTAGGAATGGAGTAAATCTGTTTATACTGATGCCATATCTGGTCTGGTGCTCCTGCTGTACGTCACGAGATTCTTGACAAAATTCAAAGAAGCGTTTGTTATGTAATCGATCCTGACCAAGCATCTCGACTTCAGTCACATTCTCACCGACGTGACGTGGCTTCTCTCAGTCTTTTCTACAAATATTTCCATAGCAATTGTTCTGATGAGCTTTTTCTCCCAGTACTCCGACTAGATAACTTTAAGCGTGCTACTAGATTGGCAGCTAGGTTCCACCATTTTACTGTTGAAATAGCTAGATGCAACCTCCACTTCTATTCTAACAGTTTCTTTTATCGTACTTCTTTTCAAAAATTTAAATACAACATCAATTGTCATCGTCTGTCTTCTTGTACACTGTTCTTTTTTGTCTTTTCCCCAATTTGCCCGCACTAAACTTTTCTCTTTTACACCTTGTAACCCCACGCGTCCTAGTGGCATTATCGATAAAAAAAATACTTCTAGTACTAAGTAGTCGATAATTTTATTATTTATACCAGTCATAGGCAAACAGCGGCCTGTAGGCCACATGCAGCTCGATTGGCATTCCGAATGTTACGCCTAATTTCATGAGGTAAATAACCTTAAAATATTCTTTGTTTCCTTTAATTCTCACTTGTTCACTCACACACTCTCTCATGCATAGCCAAATGCATAAATAATGATTAAGTACAATGTTTCTTGAATTTTGTAACTTTTCGTTGAAGTTTGTCAGCGTTTTAAACGATTAGCGATTTTCACTAAGAAAGATCATACGTGCAAAAAAAATTTTTGCTTCAGAAACAGGAAACGTAAATGGTAATTATTTTTCCCAGGAGAATAAATATACTTCTTTTTAAAAAATCCCCAAATGAATAAATTAGACACAAATCACAAATACGAAGGCTTAAGTTTTTTAATTATAGAAGGAATCCTTTCTCCAATAAAAAAAATCGACCTTTCCCTCATTTCTAAGGCAGATGCTTATGCGCATATTCTTTTGTCCTGAAAATGTCTGAGGTATCTTTAATGAAAAATTAACTTGATTTTTTTTTTAGTAGTGCGGCTCACTTTATGATGAACTGAGCCTCGTGCGGCTCACTGTTCGAAGAACTTTTCCCGTGCCTGATTTATACATTTGTAGTATCAGACACAGAAGGAAAACTGTGAGAAAAGTTAGTAAAGGAAAGGTGGAAAAAAGAACTAAATGTCACTTGTAAGAATACAGAGTGTCTGATTGTCAGCAAGAGGAACAATCCAAGATGGAAACTACGAATTGGAGCTGTCAAAATCAATCAATTTAAAATAGCTAAATATCTACGAAATCTTTTAACAGGAGACGGGTAATGGGACAACGAAATCGGAAGCTACACTGGAACAGAAAAAGGTGTCTTCCAAAAGCTCAACATTGTATTAAGAAACAGAAAATTTTCATTGGAAACAAAGATTGCTGCTGTGTAATATCACTCCTGTTCGATTACCGCCTCCTGATGATAATCACAAACAGCGAGATTTTGGCTTATCGCCCCCTGACAATAATTACAGGCTTTGTTGCGAGCACCTACACCTTTGATGAGATTTTAATGCTCCTGGTACATTTGAACCGCAAAAGATTATTGGCGTATTCATGTGAGTCCAGGTAAAATTTAGTATTAGACATAGAATTTAAAGAAATAAATATTAACAAATATATTTATAGGATATTTTACAAAAAGAAAACACTGAGAAATAAAAATTAAATGTGAATAGTTCAAAGCAAGCTTTAGTGTCAGCAGATGGGGTACTTACATGTCGACGGGAGCGAGAAGAATACGTCTTTTCGCTATGAAAGTCAACGAGAAAGATAGATTTTTTCGAATCTCGTGCCGCCTGTAATTATAGTCAGGGGACGGTTAATCAGAATCTCGACGCCTATGAGTATCATCAGACGGCAGTAATCCAACACTCCTTATGACAGTGACTACTGAACAATTTCCTCACAGATGACGATAAAACTTGAGTTCCCGACTCAGTATATATGCAGATGACACAACTAGAGTGAGTCCCCCCGTATTCGCGGGGGTTAGGGCCAGAACCTGCCGCGAATAATTAGAATCCGCGAATACTTGTAAACCCACTAAAAGTGCTTATAAGTACCTATTTTGAGATGTTATACTGTTGAATAGTGCCAGAAGCGTCAACGTTTTTTTTTATTATATGCCTTAAAACACTTTAGAAACATTTCAGACCCTTTTTAAAACATTTTTGAAAAATAATATTGGTGACCATACACTTAGCGTAAATTTTCTTTCATACGTACAATAACCGTTTTTAATTACGCATATATTGATACAACCATTGAAAATACTATATAAAATATGTGTAACAAGATATAAAATATAAAGTTTAAAACATTTTCTAAAAACAGAACTGTGATGGTGCCCCCTGACTTAGCATAAACCATTTTAAGGCTCCAGTCACAGCCCCTAACAAAGAACAAAGCCCAAGCACTACGCATGTTTTCGCGGTTGTTTTTTTACAATGAAATGTACCATTCCGCTAAATTTTACCATAAAATGGATTGTTATATGTTTTAAGTCATTTAAATAACAGGAAAATAATACGAGAATATTTTAAATATGTTCTATTGAAAAAAATACGCGAATTGAGGAAGTTCTCAGCGAATAATTTGTATATATGTTCTTCAGGAAAACACGCGAATATTCGGGGTTTCCGCAAATAACCAGTACATATCTTCTAAGCAAAAATCCGCGAATGTGGGAAGCCACGAATGCTGAAACGCGGATAGGCGGGGGCTGTATTTACTCTTGTCTTAATAATAATTCTGATAGTTTTGATAAAATCAAATTGGTCACTGATCTCGAAAGTCACCTAAAATCCGTTGTTAGTTGGAGCAAGAAATGGCTTGTTCATTTTAACGCCTACAAAACTAAACTGCTCTCTTTTAACCACCAGGAGAATAATTAATTGCGTTTTCTCTGTCAAACCTTTTCCCCTGACATGAAGTGGAATGAATATATCGAACTAAGTACCCAGTCTGCTGTCTGGGAAATTGGTTCATTGTGCCGTTCTAGACAATTTAATCGCCAGAATTCATCTTGCACACTTATGAATCTACCATTCGTCCATGTACCGAATATGGCTGCCATGTCTAGTCTTGAGCTCCTAAAATATATCGAGAGATTCTCGACAAAATCCAGAGAAGGATCTGTTATGTTATCGGTCCTGACCGGTCACTTTCCTACCGCCGTGACATGGCTTCTCTATGTCTTTCTGTAAATATTTTCATGGAAACTGTTTTAATGAACTTTCCTCCTTGGTATCACGATCTCATGAATACTACTAGATTGTCAATTAGGTCCCATCGTTTTACTGTTGATTAGTTATATGTAACCGTACCTTCTATAATTTCTTTTCCCGCACCTCTTTCGATTTTTTCCCTATAAACTTCAAAAATTTAAATGCAGCGTCAATCGCCGTCTTCTGTCTTCCTGAATTCTGTTCTTTTATTGTCCTCTCTTCTCACTAAAGTTTTCTAATTCTCTTTTACTTTAAGTGTTTTAACAGAGAATGGAAAATGCGACACCAAAATCCGAAGGTGAATTTGGAATAGTGAAAGTTGCCTTCCAAAAGCTAAGGAAAGTATTAAAAAACAGGAATATCTCAATACAAACAAATAAAAATGTAATGGATTGTTATGTAATATCGGTCTTCCTATATGGCAGTGAATACTGGACAATCTGCTTATAGATGAAGAAGAGACTCAAAGAAACAGAAATGCAGTTCCGCAGAAGGATGCTGAGAATGGACTGAACAATGATGTGAGCAATGACGAAAGAAAAATGGCTGGCAGAACAGAGATTGAAAGAGATGGCGACAAGACAAAATTTGCTAAGAGTTACAAAGGAAGTTGTGGAGAGCTATGATTGTCCATCAAGGGACATTGGAAATAGAAGAAGAACCACAACTAGAAGAATTGGGATAACGGACGAACCAGAAGAATTGGGATACCAGAAGAACCAGAATCAGGAGAAGAAAAACCAGAAGTAGAACCTGAACCAGAAGAAGATGAATGAACAGAGAATGAACCAGAATACGAAGAAGAAGAAGAAGAAGAAGAAGAAGAAGAAGAAGAAGAAGAAGAAGAAGAAGAAGAAGAAGAAAGAAGAAGAATTTGAACAGAAGAAGAAAAAAGAAGAAGAACCAGAACCAGAACCATGAATGAAGAATTTGAACTAGAAGAAGAAAAGAAGAAGAAGAAGGAGGAGGAACCAGAAGAAGATGAATGAACAGAGAATGAACCGGAATAAGAAGAAGAAGAAGAAGAAGAAGAAGAAGAAGAAAAGAACCAGAACCAGAAGAAGATGAATGAACAGAGAATGAACCGGAATAAGAAGAAGAAGAAGTAGAAGAAGAAGAAGAAGAAGAAGGAGGAGAAGAAGAAGAAGAAGAAGACGAAGAACCAGAACCAGAAGAAGAATTAGAACTAGAAGAAAAACCAGAACCTGACCAAGAAGAAGATGAATAAACAGAGAATGAACCGGAATAAGAAGAAAAATAACCGCAAGAAGAAGAAGAAGAAGAAGAAGAAGAAGAAGAAGAACTGGAACTGGAACCAGGACAAGAACCAGAAGAATAACCAGACGAACAACCAGAACCAGATGAACCAGAATCAGAAAAAACAGAAGCAGAAGATCAAGAAGAAAAAGAAGAACCAGAACAAGAAGACCTAGAACCAGAAAAAAAAGAACCAAAAGAAGAACGAGAACCACGATATAAAGAAGAACGGCTAGCGTCTTAGCGGCATTATCGCCTTGCTTGCAGCGATATGATTAAATGAATAAAAAAAGTCGATGCTGCTGGCATTATTCAACAGTATAACATCTTATGTCATTAACAGGGTGCATTTAAGGAATAATCTTTAATGACAGTCCGAGACGCAGCTATAGTTTTCTTTGCTGCAACTAGCAAAATATTTACATAGTTCTCTTATAAATCCCTTTTTCCATTAACTTTTTGAATGCTCCTCGCGTAGTTTATCTAAACTTATCCATGTTATTGTATGCGTACGGGTATTTTTTTAATCTGGTGTAAGAGCAGTAACAAAATACAGGATAATCTAGAATAACTGGATATTGAATTCCAATATTTTGTCGTTTCATCTCCTTGAGCTTGCAATTTGAAGATGCTTTTTTATTTGCATTTTTTTATTTATTTTTTTTTATTTGAGATATTGAAACCAAAGAAATGGTGCGTTATTCCTAACCCAGTTGGCAGGGATTTGTTAAAAGTACTTGGAGAAACTTCAAAAATACTAGAATCATTTTCCTTCCAAACTTTTTTGATACTTAAGATTTACTAGAAATAAAACAACACAAGGTCAGACGAGAAAAATGTGGCAAGAAAGACCGTTACGCCCAATTTCCAAGTAGAGAGGACCCACCTGTCTCCCTAGAGAATGGTCATTGGAAACTGTGGCTTTTACGTAGGCTTAAATACTGAGGCCCATGCAATATATTTAACTATTTTAACTAACAAGGGGGGCTATTTATAACTTATCCTTTTTACTGAGTTAAAGAGAAGTGAAAAGATGCGGCCATTTTAAAGGTGATGCAATTGTGGTGCAATCTCCGTTGTAATCGTCGATAGAGTAACATGATTTCTCATGTGTAAGTTGCAATTTAACTTGTGTTTTTTATCTTATTCTTTCATCCTGTGATTTTTTTTTTCTGTCGAACATGTGGCCTTTTGCAGCTTCATACGTCAAAAAAATCAATGCTGAAATGTTTGCGACATAACCAAATATAACATTTTAAGTGATGCTTTTGTTACACTTGTGATCGAAAAGGTAACGCTTCGCAGTCACTGTTTCGCGGTTTTGATCTCGCATTCACCGTTTCACAGCCGCCGTTTCGCAGCCATCGTTTCGAAGCCAACATTTCCTAGCCACCGTTTCGAGGCCAACGTTTCGCAATTGCTGTTTCGCAGATTCCATTTCGCAATCACCATTTCAAAGCCAACGTTTCGTAGTCGTCGCTTCGATAGTTATTCACATCTAAATATTTATAAACAAAAACGTATGTATGCACACTTGTATATTAAAATTAAAAAACACATACACATCAAAACAAATTACATACTTAGAGTTACAAATGTGAAACAATAATTTAAAATATAAATAGACACCTATGTTATATGTTGATAGATAGATAGATAGATAGATAGATAGATAGATAGATATATGAACAAAATGAGATAGATAGATAGATAGATAGATAGATAGCAATAGTAACGCTAGGAATTTACAAGACATAAAGATATGATTCAAAAAAAGAAAAAGTGGGTTTCTTCAGGAAACACACGAACAGGTGTCAGCGAATAACAAACACAAGATGAACGTTTATAAACAATTTTATATGGCGATAAACAACAACATATAGGAAGATTATTGGATGACAGATGTAAAATAAATAAAAGGCACTTATCCTATACTGGGTGTTACTTCAAGCATTGGTGTTTCATCATTTGTACATGCAAATGTTCGTAATGTCGGTAGTTTTTCTTTCCGCAATATAAACTGGACAACTCTGGAAGAGTCTTTGTATTTCGTTTCCCCTCTAGTAATGAAATTACATCCAAGGTAAAGTTGGGATGATTTCTCCGGGTATAATATTCCTTTATCCTCTACACATCAAGTTGTCGAATAGATCCACGGTATTCGGGAATAATATCTTTTTTATTCACTACACATCAAGTAGTTGAACAAATCCAGGATCTTCGAGATGATATTTCTTTATTCCTTACACAACAAATAACGGAATAAGTTCATGGGCACATCTCTCATAAGCGGTCGCTGACAGTTGATTTTCTCACGATCTGTTGCGGTCAGAGATTATCGGGAAACTGAAATTACAATACCAAAAATCGCACGTGGTGATGTATGTCGCGTGATCTTCGGTGACTTACTTTTACTTGCTCCGTTATGAGGTCAATCTGTCTCGTTGTCAAGCAATACAGATTCCTATTTTTCAGTGGAGAGTGTCTAGACAGGCAATGAAAAAAAGAAAAGAAGAGAAAAAGCAAGGATATCGTGTCCCTTAATAAATTGATCATACGTCTGATCTAACATTCAACATTGAGGGCCATGTCACAGTAATGGAGATATGATGTGTTTGCTCACCAAATTTGGCCTTCGATAATCATTGAGGCATGACAATGCTGAGACTTTTGATATCAGTCTATGTAGCGACGTAACCTAGCCTTTCGTGCCTTTCTTTCATGCATTACGAGTTTGTGCTGAAAAGTTCTCAGCCTGGCTAACATTGATCACATGATCAGAATTTATTTTAGAATCAATTTCAGCAAAGTTACTAAAACAAAGGGAGAAGGAGGAAGAAACTAAAAAATAGAAAAGACTTTTTTTTTTCAAAATAAAGATAAAGGTAAACAGAAAAAGAGGAAAAAATCGAAAACAATAACTGAAAGTAAAAAGATGGGAAACAATAGAAAAGAAATACGAAAAAAAAAATAGAAAAAGGAAAAAGACGAAATAAAAAGACAAATGAAAAAAGAGGAAAAAGGAAGACAAATGAAAAAAGAGGAAAAAGAGAGACAAATGAAAAAAGAGAAAAACGAAAGACAAAGGAAAAAGACAAAAAAGAAAGACAAATTTGAAAATAGGCAAAAGAAAGACAAATATAAAAAGACAAAAAAGAAAGACAAATGGAAAAAGACAAAATAAACCTTTGTGTAAATTAATTGAAACAAAACGAATAATTCCGTTATTATTTACTTTTCTCATATTTTTCCAGTAAAACATGACCCAGTGCACGTGTTAGTACTTCGTATATCTATTCCATGAAGTCATTCCTTACATACTGACCACAGATTCTCGATTGGATTTAAATCAGGAGAGTTTCAGGATTTTGATTTTCTTACTGGTAAGGCGTGCCAGTGTGTTCGCGCAGCGTTACACTTTTCTTACGCTTTCTTGGAGTAACGTCCATCGCAGACAATGGCCGTAGGACAACTAATCGACAGTGAAGACAATAGTGTCTCGGCGTGACAGACAAAAATCTGATGCAATCACGGATGATGCAATATTTTTCAAGGCCAAACAAATTTCATCATACACCTCGAAAATAAATGAAAAAGAATGACAAATGAAAAAATGTCAAAGAATGTCAAAAGAAAAACGAAAGAAAATATACAAAAACGTAGGACAAGAAAAACGAAAATGAAAAACAAAACGAAAAACGAAAAACAAATACTAAATAAAAAAAAACGCAAAAAAAAGATAAATGAAAAAGATGAAAAAGAAAGATATAAGTAAAATACAACAAAAACAGATAAAAAGCAAAGATGAAAAGGAAAGACAAATGAAGAAAAAAAAACAGGGGAGAAAATAAAACGAAAAACAAATGAAAAGAGACAAAAAAGAAAGAGAAATGAAAACAAAACTAAAAGGTAAGACGTAAAAAGAACGAAAAACAAAGACATAAAAAAAAGATAAAAGAACGAAAAAGGAAGAAAAATAAAAAAAAAGAAATACGAAGGAAAAACAAAAAGTAAAAGGTAAAATAAAAAGGCAGTTCGAAATAAACGAAAAAATTGGGGATGAATGAAAGAAAAGAGGAAAGAAACGATGAATCAGTTATGGAAAAGGGAATGCTTTGAGGATGTAAACAATGCACGAGATGTCCTTAGTGCAAAGACAAGTAATCAAAGTACAATGGCTCTGCAATGACGTCAGAAAAGCAACGATGCATGTGGCGTTGTTGAGTGCAGCCTGATTAACAGATTTTAGATTTCAACCCACATTTGGAAAACTCAGCCAATTAACGGTCTTACAAATATAGACGTACACACTCAGCATACATATTAAAAGATGTACGCCGTTACAAAGACCAATATATCAAATGATAGATAGATAGATAGATAGATAGATAGATAGATAGATAGATAGGCAGATAGATAGGCAGGCAGGCAGGCAGGCAGGCAGGCATTGCTCATCTTATATTTGAGTCTATAAGTAATAATTTGATTCAGAACAGGTAAATATTAATCGTTTGTATTTGAGTCTATAAGCATTTACATGATTCGGGAATAGGTAAATATTTGTCTTTTATATTTGAGTCAGTAAGCATTTACATGTTTCCGGGAGGGCTAAATAGAGGCCGTTTATAATTCAGTCCGTAACCATTTACCAGATTGAAGAACATATGGGTCGTTTTTATTTGAGTCAGTAAGCATTTACTTCATTTCAGAATAGGTCAATATTTCTTGCTTTTATTTGAGTCTATAAGTATTCATTTTTCAGGAATATATAAACTTTTGTCGTTTTTATTTAAGTCTTGAAGCATTTACTTCATTCGGGAATATGTAAATATTTGTCGTTTTTATTTAAGTCTTGAAGCATTTACTTCATTCGGGAATAGGTAAATATTTTCGTTAATATATGAGTCTTTAGGCATTTACTTAAATTCGAAAATAGGTAAATATTTGTTGTTTATTTTTGAGTATATAAGTATTTACTTAGTTTGTGGTCAGGTAATTGTTGGTTGTTTTTATTTGAGTCTGTAGCCATTTACTTTAAATATTGGTCGTTCTTATTTGAGTATAACTTTTTATTGAGTAAGCAGCCCGTTGGGGAGCGCTTCACCTCTCTCTGGAAATATGATGTCGTGTTATTGTACGCACCACTCACAAGAAAGTTATAGATATTGAATAGCTTAAGATAGGGAGATATTTTTCTTTTGCTGTTGTTCACCCAGTATAAGGCCTAAGAGGTACTCAATGTAGAGAATTATTGATGAATTTGTAGATAACAGTTGACCTTAGAATTGAAAATTAAAATTAAAGCAACCGAGGAAGCATCCTCTCCGAAATCTGTTCCACAAAGTAGGGGAGGAGCGTCCTGGGTATGATGATAAACTACATCTAGCAGCAAGGCCTCTGATCAGGAGGTTTTGAGGAACGTGGAATTGCTGGTGTTCCCAGGTCCACTCTGGCCCGGAGTGGTAGCACCTGTTAGGGTCCCAGCTATGGGCAAATAGTCACCCGCCACACCAAAAAAAAAAAAAAAATAAATAAATAAAAATAGATAGTGAAGAAAGGTCATGATAAAAACCGGAAGCAAGTCAACTATGCTAACCTGATTCATCGTCCTGTTGCCAATACCTGTGTCGTTTGCAACATGATTTGCTGATCGTCATCTGGGCTGAGGAGGCACATAGAAGGTACACAAGAATGTTGTCGGGCATGTAAATCCAATCAACCCAATCAAGGATAGAGAGTTTATCTATCATATATATCTGATACGTAATAAGTTGAATGTAGTTAGTTTAGTTTTTCCTTCCGCTTGTACCGTTAGGCGTCGCGGAGAGACACAGTCGTCCGTCAGTGGCAAGACGAGTGGAGAGATATCTCGTGGGCTCTGAAAGTGTCTGCCGCTGAATCGCTCCAACGTCTTCTTGGTCTGCCTCTCGCTCTTCAGCCATAGTACCTGAGGGCGTATGCTCGTAGGGCTGGTTGATTGAGTGAGGTGTCCAAACCACTTGATCGTCTGTTGTTCGATGTGTCGCATGATTGGTATTGCTCCTACCACATTTCTCATTGCTGGATTCCTGATCTGGTCTCGCCTGGTCTTGTTCACTGCTTTCCTAAGGCAATTTCATCTCACAAGTGATCAGTTTCCTCTCAAGGTTTTTTGTTAAGGGCCATGCCTGGCACTGGTATGTCAGCTTTGGTAAGAAAATCGCGTTGATGAGATTTACCTTGGTGCTCATGGAAATGCTAGGATGTTTTAGAAGAGGAGCAAATTGGTAACTGACTGTGTTGGCTTTCTGACATCTGGTCTCGATTTCTCTAGTTTGCCGTTTTCGGTAAATATGCTGCCCAAATATTTGAATTCACTGATTTGCTTTAGCTGGGTCCCGTTGATGTTGATGTCCAGTTTTTCTGGTCTCTTGAATGCGGGTCTTAAAAGTAATCTAGGGAGCTATGGACTCCAAAACGAGACGGAAGACATTACAAGTGATACGAGGGCTCATGGAGTGGCTTTCATCTAAGTAAAATATGGCAAACAACATGTAGATATGTACTCCCCTTTTGAAAATTGTTGATCCCGCCAAATTATGCGGGCGATCTAAGAAACTGTAACTAAGGTCTACTCAGCATATTAAAAGTGTAAACCAGTATAAAGCTCTGTAGTTGTCGGACAAACACAAAATGTGCCTGAGCAGACGTCTTCAACAGGGATTCCATTATTATTATGTATGTACAATGTCTGATCAAAAAGTATCCGGACTGTTGCTACGATCAGTCAGTTATGTGTCATATTTCGATACATGACTACGAGGTAGATTTTTTCCCAAAGTAGTTTGCCATTTCTTTCTGCGGTAGACCAGTTACCATCCAAGGCTATAGAACCCGGTCTCTCCAGCTATTTACCTATAGCTGGGGGGAGAAGAGGGTTCATACATTTCCCAAGGTTATTAGCACGTAAGTGAATGTAATGGATTCGACTGGAATTCGAACTCGGCTCTCCGATTCTTCAATCCGAGCCGCTATCCATTACTCCGCCGTGTTGCTATGGTAACGGAGCTAAAGTACGCAGATTTTGCCACAGAGTGAACTTTGAACTCTGTCACACATGCACACTAAGTTATAACGCTCTGGCTGACTTCCATTGTTTATAGCAGTGCTTGGAAGGAAAGTGTGTAGAGTGTGGTCGTCTCACCACACCACAGAGCATTCATTAGTGACCATGGCTTCTTCAGCAGTTTTAAGCAAGTAAAATATTCCCCTCATCCAACAAGAACTATATTCCACAGATCTTGTCCCTTGTGACTTTTTCTTTTTCAAAAATCAAATCCCACTTGAAAAGAACAAGATTTAAAGACATCAAGGAAAATCCAAGAGAATGCGACCAGGCAGTTACTCACTATCACAAAAAAAGGAGTTTCAGGAATGCTTTTATCAATGGAAACAATAGTGGATAAAGTGTATGAATTCAGAAAGTGACTACTTCAAAGGAGATTAAATGTTGAATTGATATGTGTTGTAGTTTTAAGCACATTTTTCTGGGAGCTGCTTATTCTTATTTCTAATTATATAGATTGGCATATATTGACCTTGAACTCTGTCACGCATGTACACTAAGTTAAAACGTTCTAGCGCACTTCCGTTGTTTATAGCAGCGCGTGGAAGGAAAGTGTGTAGAGTGTGGTCGTCTCACCACACTACAGAGGTTCCATTTAGATGGTTGTTGTCTCTAAGAGTTATTAAGTATAGCGCTCAACATTCGTGTGTAGCATTAATGTCCAAACAGTGGCATTATGCATTAATACCGCTTCAACAGTGTCTCGAAAGAATCTGTTTGAGATTATCTGGCAGATCAGATTTCCAGATTAAATCCATTTTCTCCTACATCATCTAGAAAACGCTGCCAACGATGTTGGATTCTATGTCAATGGCTCTAAAACTGAATTCCTAGGCTTCAACCAGCAAGGCTCAATACAAACTCTCAAGTGAATCAATAATATATGTCGAATCTTTTACATACATAGGAAGCAAATAAATTCTACCGAAAAGGATGTGAAAAATTCACATAGCTAATGCTTGGGTCACACACACACACACACACACACACACACACACACACACACATTATATATATATATATATATATATATATATATATATATATATATATATATATATAAAATGAAAAATGTTCAGCCCAGACAAAAAAAAAGTATGTCTGATGCTGAACTTCTTGAGAGCAACTCTCTGCGTCTGCTCGGTCTCACGTTGACTGCTGACCTGAGATGGAACAAATACATTGAGTCAATTGCTTCGTCCACCGCAAGGAAAGTTGTCTCTCTGCGCCTCGCCAGGAAATTTTTCTCCCCGGAATCGATACTTCAAATATACAAATCAACCATTCGCCCTTGTATGGAGTATTGCTGCCATATATGGTCTGGTGCCCCTTCTGTTTACCTCGGAGTTCTTGACAAGATCCAGAGGCGGATATGTAATATAATTGGCCCTGATCTGGCATCTCGTCTACAGTTGCTCTCTCACAGACGCGCCGTCGCCTCTCTCTGTCTTTTTTTACAAATACTTTCATGGTAATTGCTCTGAGGAGCTGCTTTCACTACTTCCAGACTTCATGAATTCAAGCGCCCTACGAGGCTGGCATCCGTTCTCACCCTTTCACTGTAGAAACTTTTAAATGCAGCCGTCTCCTCTACTCCAATAGCTTCATATCTCGCACCTCTCGTCTGTGGAACTCCCTTCCTTATTACTGTTTTCCTGAGAGCTATAATCTCCAACTATTCAAATGTAATGTCAATCGACATCTCCAGTTACCGTGATCTATTCACTATCCTTCCCTCATCCTTTCTTCTATCACTCCTATCTGCTCTCGCTCCAAATCTTCTGCAACCCCCTGCATCCTAGTGGCTTCCCGCCTTGCTCGGGGCGTAATGCTTATAAAAAATTTTTTTTAAAAAGTCATATCTATTCATCTAATCGTATTTTGAGAAATAAGTAGGGCCGAGAATTTTTCAGCACATTTTCATATATTGCATATGTTTATGTATACATGGATATAGTTATTTATATATGCAGCTATACATATTTGTCTGTATATATATATATATATATATATATATATATATATATATATATATATATATATATATATATTTAAAAATATGATTCCAAATCGCGACATAAGAAGTCCCATGTTTAAAAATAATAACTAAAATACTAAGGGACATACGCATGTATGTATTTATGTATAACCGATTTTTCAGTGTGTGTGTGTGGAAACAGATTCTGTTGATGGATTGACGGATATCGAAATTTATCGCGCGTTTTGCTGCCAAAAACAAAAATCCATTCACGTTTCTTATGAATACGAAATTATGAAGATCCGTGATTTATTACTGCCTCTAAGCTTTCACCCTTCTCCCTTTTCTATTCCGATCCTATTATCCATATAATGTTATCATCTTCGCACACACACCCCCGGCTCTTCGACCTTCATCCAACTAAGTGATATAAAAACAAGCCTCCCTCATTCTTTTCAGTCTACAACAGCAATGACGACATATAGCTATTTACGAAACTTAGCCAGGTCTAGCTTAAGAGAAGACTGGGTTGCACCGAGAGCAACTTATCGGCATTAAAAATCAGATCCTGAAATCTAGCACCGACCACCAGTGGCAAATATGCACTTGCCCCCCACCACACACACACACACACCTAGATGTATTCGCGCATCTGTTAGTTTCTCTTTGGGTCAACGTTTTACAGAAGCTCCCAGATTTCTAAGCGCAGTACTAGATTGGAAGATAGGTCTCATCATTTTACTGTTGAAATTATTACATATAACCGTAAATTCTATTCTAATAGTTTCTTCTCTCGCACTTCTCACCGGTGGAATTGTCTTCCAGCTTCTTGCATTCCTGTCAACTGCAATAAAATTTAAATGCAATGTCAAACAACATCTCTGTCTCCTTCAATCCTGTTCTTTATATCGTCATCTCTCCTCAGTAACGTTTTCTCATTGTCACTAACCCTTTGCATCTTAGCACTATTTTCGCCTTGATTGGGGTGAAATGATAAAAAAGAACAAGGATTACTATCAAGATCCAAGAAGATTTACGTTGATCTTTCTTCAAATATAATTTCTTGGCGTAACATAATCTTACCATGAAGTGATATACAACATTGTTGACGAGCAACCTCCACTATCCAACAGGATAAAAGGCTTTTACACTTCGAACAAAACAATAGTGGAATACAACAGTAAATATAAACAGTGTGGACACAAAAATCAACATTGCACGGGGACTGGCAGTTTCATGCCTTAAGTGATCATCAAATGATCAGCTGATGATCGTTCAAGGTGTGAAACTGCCAATCAACATGCAGTTTTGATTTCTTTGTCCACAGTGGGGATATATGAAATGACATCCAGCTGTTGATTGGTGGGTTAGGAACACGATTAGACTTGACTGCGTCAACCAGGAAAGAGGGTCGGATGTTGAAAGTCCTGAAAACCCCGATAATCTCAGTAATAAAACATAAATGATATCACTCCACACTCAGCACATCAAAAATTATTTTAAAAATTAAAGCATATACTGCAGCAAGAATTCATTCAAATATATTTTTAAGGAAACTGACCGACAAGATCTTTTTAATTAAATTATACTACTTCTTCGATTATCCGGACACACTGAGACAGAGTTTGAAAAAAAATATGTTTGGACAATTCAAAATTTCGGATAACTGAATGCGTAAATACTTTATGTTATATATTTAATAAAACCTACCTGTGATATCATAGACAGTTCCCAGAAGAAATGCACCCTTGTCCAAATTAATTGTAACAAAACGAATAATTCCGTTTCTATTTACTTTCTTTTGTATTTTTCCAATAAAAAAAGACCCTGTGCACATTTTTTTACTTCGTATGTTCATTCCACGACGTTGTTCCTTGCAGATTGACCACAGATTCTCGATTGGATTTAAATCAGGAGAGTTTCCGGCTCAGTCTATATTACTTTGATTTGCTCATTGGTAAAGCTTGCCAGTGTGTTCGTGCAGCGTTACAATTTTCGTATGCCACCTTGGAGTAATGTCCTCCTCAGCGGATTGAGCCGGCTTCTTCCTGTTATGAGAAGAAGATTCTTGGGATAAATTACAGAAGTAGGGTACCCAGGCCTACTCGGATAACGTTCTTGCTTGCCGCGGGGTTCCCACAGACGCAGAGACAGGAACGACCAGAAGCCGCCGGTTACCGATACAGACGCTCCTTGGATTTTCACCAGAGCCCTTGTTAGCCGGCGTGTGTGTCAGACCTGTCCGCCTTGGGTGGCTCTACCAGGAACGAAGTTCCGGGCGGCATAGCTCTGACACTACCGTTTACACCCCCCACCGACTGTGAGGTAAGGGTTTGACTTTGGGGGCTTACAGTACCAGGTGTTCCCAAGCGGTCCCCTATCTAAGTACTGACCTGGCTCTACGCTGCTTAACTTCGGTGATCGTACGAGAACCGGTGTTTCAGCGTGATTTGACCGTAAGCACAATTACACCCTGTCACTCCAGTGGGTCGAAAACTGACCGTATGGTGAAAGAAAGGAAACTAAAGCGGTTGTTTCAATTAATTTGCACAAAGGTGTAGTTCTCACAGGAGTCAGTTTCCAAGAGTAACCTATAACAATTACCAACAGTCAGTTACTGAGAGTGATATACAATAGTGGTAACCTCATCTATTCAACAAGGGCAACGGTCTTTACACGTCTAATGAAACAATAGTGAAATACAATTCCAGATGTTTGTTTTAGCAGCGAGTTGGCTATCCACACTAAAAAATTTGGCGCAGTTGAATCATCTGACTGAGTTAAGCATTGTTAATATTTTCAAAAGGTTCAATAATTATATTTGTACTAGACTTGTAGATGAAATTTTACATACTTAGCGTTAGCGTGCACCTTAGGGTGAGGTAATGGTTAACGAGCTAGTATGGTTTACCATTACTACTGAGTAGAGAGTTCTGTCTCCATTGGATACCTCCTATTTGTGATCTTGAGCCAAATCAAGCTAACCTTCATAAATAACGAGTTTAGGATTAAAACCATGCAAAATCCCGGTGAGACAGTGGGTCCGCCGGCTTGTGCCTCTTGACGCCTGGTCAGTGAGCGTTTGACATCTCTTATGTTTGCTGTGGTTGTTTGGGAAACACAATCTGGCCCTAGTCAGGATACACTAATTTTGAACGTAGTTTCACTGTGTCATGGTAGTCTAATTTAAATATGTGAAGAGTGGAGACTATAAATTAGCTCCTCTAAACAAGAAACAAAGGAGTTTTAATTAAAAAAAAAGAACGTAACGCTAAATTATGTTGAATTTTCGGAATCTTCTACGGCAAATTTACATCCAGCGTCATACAACGTATATCCTTCCTTAGTAAAACTACAAATATCACAATACTTATTTGAAGACAATAGAGATATAAATAAAAACAAAACCGATTGAAAGCTAAATAGGGAGATTCTTTATAAAATCCTAAGAAGAATTTGCAATCTCGGCTTCAGTGACTTTCCCACCGATTTAATGTAGCAACCTCCCCGTATTTTTTCTATAAATATTTTCATGTTTATTCTTCTAATGAGCTTTTCTCTTTGGTACCTCGAATTTACGAATTTAAACGCTATACTAGATTGGCAGCTAGGTCTCATCATTTTACAGTTGAAATGGCGAGGTGTAACTATATGTTCTATGCAAACAGTTTTTTGAGTCTGTCTATATTTCTGAGATGAGGTATTATGTATATTATTTACATTATTCGGACTATTGTCCTCATCTTTGTCGCCATAATTATCACAACGTTTCGGCCTTTGTACACTCCGGCCTTCTTCAGGTGGTTGGAATGTCGAACTGAACCCTTTATTTCGCTCACCGGAGTAGACTGTTCTAGTTCTACGTGCCATGTTTGATGGATGTCAGTTATCAGTTATCTCCTGTTATCTCTGAAAGTTCTCCACTGCCTTAACCGGGTATGGAACTCACACTCTTTGGGTCCTGTCACTGGATCTAACCAACACCTTTATCCACTGTGGAACAGGGTTCAGTTCGACATTCCATCCACCTTGCATCTTAGCGGCTTTAAAACTTTGCTTTGGGTTAAACGATCCAGAAAAACAGCGATGTTATGCATCTAGAAACGCCGGACATCAAAAGTTTTAATTTTAAGGTAGGCGTTCCTGCATCTTCAGCGTTTCTTGATGCAAAAATATAACGAATCTTTTTTTTTTTTATTCCTTTTGCTCTCATATACATAAAACCTGATTTGAAACCCCTGCTGCGTTCTTAATACATCTAGACACGGAAAAGGCTGCGTAAGTAAATCCAGACAGAAAATCCTGAGCGAAGCCCTGAATGTTATTGGCTGTCAACACTGTCAATCTTACGGCAATCTTGCAGCCAAATGAAACCCAAATGTAAAACTTCTGCTCTGCCTAAATAAGGCCGAGAGGGGTACCAAGTGGTTTAGGCAGTGAACAGCCTCCACATACCATTGCCTGCGCCCTGGAGAGGTCACTCTAGTCACGCCACCAAAGTACTACATTTTAACCAAACAGAGTGCTACCATTACTTCGTGGAATAAACGGACGCTTATATATATATATATATATATATATATATATATATATATATATATATATATATATATATATATATATGCTAGATCAATTCCAACTGAATAGTGAGTTCAATCGTCACTGAACTTTTTTTTTTTTTGTTTGAAGAAATTCTTTCGAAGGACAAAAGGCGTAACGTAAGAGGGTATTTTTATTTTGTCATTCAATTCCACATTATAAGATAGATAGATAGATAGATAGATAGATAGATAGATAGATAGATAGATAGATAGAATCAGATAGATAGATAGTGAACAAAATGAGATAGATAATGAACAGAATGAGACAGACAGATAGATAATGAATGGAATCAGATAGATAGATAGATAGATAGATAGATAGATAGATAGATAGATAGATAGATCAGGTAAGAAAGCAGTAATAAACAAATAAAACATTGTGGAATTAGCATACGTTAAACTAATATTTCATGACCTTCAGTCTTCTACTCTACTTCGACCATAAAATGGATCGTTATTTCTGTCATTCGACCATTTTCTGAGATTGAGTTGATGAAAATTATTTCTGGATTTTTTTTTTCTTTTTTTCTCTTTTTTCTTGTTGCCGTTGTGTTTTGTTTTTCTAATCAATAATCTCCATGATCGTTTCTACTCCATGGCTCCAACCCGACTCCTCAACCAATCACCATAAATTAACCAGTGACCTATATTATCTACAGTCCAATGCACTAACCGCTAAGATATGCCTCTTGTAAAGAACAGCTTTCTCTACTGTTTCTATCTATTCCGCCATAAATATCCTTCATGTGTAAATGAAATGTAGGAGGAAATGATGAGGTTTTGGTTTGCAGGCAATATTTTCAAAATAGTCTCGTGAAATAGTAAAGAGAACGGGAATGCGAAAGAGCTTGAAGGTAGAAAAGGGGAGGTTGAAGGGGAGGAGAAAATGATGGGGCTGCTGACTATTAGATAGGGAGGGAGGGAGGATGAGGGAGACAGATATACCAAAGGGGGGAAGAGGGAGAATTAAGAAAAGGAACAGGAGGTTAAAAACGCAGTGTCGAATATAAATAAAGACAAAAAAGAGGAAAAGGACGAGGAAAGATTAATGCAGAAAAAATAAGGAAAGAAATGTTGAATTAAAAGAAAGAAAGAAAGAAAGAAAGAAAGGCGGAATGAACTGAAATGAAAAGAAAGAAAAGAAGAAAAAAAAAAAGAAAGAAAGAAAGAAAGAAAGAAAGAAAGAAAGAAAGAAAGAAAGAAAGGCGAAATGAACTGAAATGAAAAGAAAGAAAGGCGGAATGAACTAAAATGTTAAGAAAGAAAAAAGAAAGAAAGAAAGGTGGAATGAACTGAAATGTAAAAGAAAGAAAGAAGAAAGAAAGAAAGAAAGAAAGACGGAAGGAACTGAAAAGTAAAGAAAGAAAGAAAGAAAGAAAGAAAGAAAGAAAGAAAGAAAGAAAGAAAGAAAGAAAGAAAGGCGAAATGAACTGAAATGAAAAGAAAGAAAGGCGGAATGAACTAAAATGTTAAGAAAGAAAAAGAAAGAAAGAAAGAAAGAAAGAAAGAAAGAAAGAAAGAAAGAAAAAGAAAGAAAGAAAGAAAGAAAGAAAGAAAGAAAGAAAGAAAGAAAAAAGAAAGAAAGTTGGAATGAACTGAAATGTTAAAGAAAGAAAGAAGAAAGCAAACAAGAAAGAAAGACGGAATGAACTGAAAAGTTAAGAAAGAAAGAAAGAAAGAAAGAAAGAAAGAAAGAAAGAAAGAAAGAAAGAAAGAGAGTGATAATGTTGACAATGAAGTAAACTGAATAAGAACTAAATATGAAATGAAAGTTGACAATGAAGCAAAAACATTTAGAAACTAAATATGCGAAGAAGGATTTCGTGAAGTGAAGCAACTTCGCAAAAGAAAATTTTAACAGCCGAACAGTTCCATTTTTTTTTCAATGCGGAACATTGCAAAATAAGAAAAGCCAAAACAAATAAAAGAATATATAATAAAAAATGAGAGGGAAGAAAATTATCGATTACTTTTTATTTCTAAGCCTGCTTCCGTTGAGTTGAACACTAACATTTACGTCCATCTCTTGCGACAACAAAGTACCAACGTCGATCCAAAAATAATGCCTCTTTGTTTTTATATTTTATATCTGGTCGCTCTACAATAGCTGCTGGTAACATGTAACCGAATACTAACTGCCGCAGGGTCATGTCATCAGCAACGGTTCCCCCACCAGTCTTGTCTAATGAGGAGGTTGACTAGATACACAAAAGATTTAAGAAAAAGACCTTTCAAGGTGTGGATAAACGTTCTTGTAGAGTCAAAAGAACAATTGGGTAAAGTGGGCTCCATAGTCATGTATGCAGTACGGTTCTGACACGGTACTGGTGGGCAGAGGGCTTCTTAGACTGAAGCCAACGACCAAAGCGAAGGCTCCTGCTCCGCCGATGGAATCAACTGCCACGTCTCCGTGACTAAGGTGACTCCTCAAATTGGAAGATATCGAATGTGGTTTCACTTGAGGAGGGATGGGATCCGCCAAGTCTAGTTGCCCAAGACATACTACGCATAAATGGATACCTCGCCGGCTTTCAACCCAGATATGTGGCGGGAAATGGTCAGGTGCTCAACAACGCAGTGACCCTACGACCACAACCGGTTATGAGACGTATGATGATTTTTTTTGTTTACCTACGACAATGGCGACAGATGCTGGTGGTATGGCAGTAGAGGTTGAACCCATATTTATAGTCTATAGATGTATATATGAAATAAACTTTTGAGTAAAGGTTCTGTAAAAACGAAAATACTATTGGTACACATCATTATTTGTTATGGGGTCCACCCCTTTTTCACACAAGTGGACTCGACCAGTGAGTACTTGGACTGCTGCCGTTAAATACCCAGGGTCAGAGTCAGTCAGAAGATACAAGGTGAGCAGAGATTGTGATTGAGTTGGAGGTAGAGTAATAGTGTGAGGTAACCGTTTGTAGAAGTCAGTTACAAGCACGCAGATTCTAAGGAAGTCCTACTTCGAGACTGTATATATATATATATATATATATATATATATATGTTATTGCTTCTAACCGCGTTCCTGGATTTACTAGCAGTATTACCCATTGTATTATTGTGTAAATACATTTAATTTCTTATCTTTAATTCTTGCGTTTGTCATTCATTGGAGACTGAATTTCATCTCGGGATCCACAACATTATTATTATTATTAGAAGTAGTAGTAGTAGTAGTAGTGTTTTCTTGGATTTCTGTTGTATACACATTTCTTTCCGGGTCCCAACCAGAGACCTAAGGTCAGAAATGGCTTCATGACATTTTGCACTGATCGTTTTTTGTAAAAAACAAAACAAAAAAAACCTAAGATAAAGTAATGTGTGAGCTGTACTTGTGACACTATTTACATTATTCGGACTATTGTCCTCATCTTTGTAGCCATATTTATTACAACGTTTCGGCCGTTGTACGCTTCGGCCTTCTTCAGGTGGTTGGAATGTCGAACTGAACCCTTTATTTCGCTCACTGGGGTAGACTGTTCTAGTTCCATGTGCCATGTTTAATGGATGTCAGTTATCAGTTATCTCCTGTTAATTCCCCTCTCCAAATTCTCCACTGCCTTAACCGGGTATTGAACTCACACTCTATGGGTCTTGTCACTGGATCTAGCCAACACTTTTATCTACTGTGCCATGTGTCCAACTACCTGAAGAAAGCCGGAGCGTACAACGGCCGAAACGTTGTAATAATTATGGCGACAAAGATGAGGACAATAGTCTGAATAATGTAAATAGTGTACATTGTACTCATCTCAGAAATATAGACAGATACTGTACTTGTGAGTATAATTTTTTTTATTTCTTTAAAGCACGGCCTACTAGAAATCCCTTTCATGATTCTGCAAGAATCTTTTCCAAACAATCCGAGGGGTCCAACTAACTGCAATTGGAATTATTGATGTCCTCATGTACCACATTTTTTAGATTTCCATTTGAAGATCATTAAGGATACATTACAATCTGCAGAGATTGCCATTCGATACGAAAAGTACGTTCTGTTTTTATTATCTTTGATCTTTTGATGTCTGGGTGATTAGTTTTAATTGTTCTGTCAGTGTGCATTGTAAAGTACCATGAAATTGTTACAGGTCCTGTCTCCATAACAGGGTCTGGGTGATGTTCATACCAATTTCTTGCAGTTTCCTTTCCGTAAAAGTTGCATAGTTTCCAGTGCAGATATGGCCCACTCTATCATACCGAGTTTGATATATTTTTAGTTTTATTATTATTATTATTATTATTATTATTATTATTATTATTATTATTATTATCTCTTCCGTACTGTTTTTGGTTTCAAACGAAGATTTTGCCTTATGGGTTTTCTCTGTCAAATCACACGGCCTCAGAACAAGAATCACCTTTCGTAGAATATAAAAATATTGTCACTGACAAGTTAAGAAAGAGAGGGAGAAAAATAAAAACATTTTTAGAACGATCTTACGTACCCAAGAAGCAACTACAAAAATTATATTAGCCTATTGTCAAGCTGTTATCATGGCTGCCAATTATTATCTTCCCTTGACTGGGTTTGTCCTTTTTTAGCAGCAGATATTGCACAATCGTACGAACTCAGACAGACAACAACAATGTAAGTGATGGTAGTTTTAAGAGTAAATGCACATCGGCCCTACGACCACAACCGGTTATGAGACGGATGGTGATGATGATGATGATGATGATGATGATGATGATGATGATGATTTTTATGTTGGTGGTATGGCGGTAGAGTTTGGAGCCTAATTTTAATCAGAAACCAATTTATTGTTACTTACATTTACTTAGCTTCATTTATCACAGTACCGAATAAGAGTAAATTTAGGTAAGAAAATTATGCTGACATATTTTCTGAAATGGAGAAGCCATGTCTGCCTTGAAAACGGGCACTCGATTCCGATGCTAGGAGTTATGGATGTTCTCCATCAAGTCGCAGCAGACCTCAAACCGATAACGCCTTTCGCAGACTGTTTGCAATACCAAGCAACGTGGACTTCTGAAGCGATGGGATATTAAGCTTCATTCTGATTTTCTTAATATAAGACTAAGTTCGGTGGTATCAACCGCAACGCCTCGATGACAACTGGGACAGTACTGGCCGTTAACGTCCCACATTCTGGCAATTTCAATCGGCGTACCAGAAACAGAAACACCGATAAAGAGACATTTTCTTCTTTCATTATTAATAGTAGTAGTAGTAGCAGCAGCAGTATTATCAGTATTAGTAGTAGTAGCAGAAGCTGCAGCAGTAATAGTAATAGCAGTAGTAGTAGTAGCAGTATTAGTAGTAGTATTAGTAGTAGCAGTAATAGTAGTAGAAGCAGTAGTAGCAGCAGCAGTAATAGTAATAGCACTAATAGTGGTAGTAGTAGTAGTAGCAGTAATAGTAGTAGCAGTATTATTAGTAGTAGCAGCATAAGAAGCAGCAATAATAGTAACAGCAGTAGTAGTAGTAGTGACAGTAGTAGTAGCAGTAGTAGTAGTAATAGTTATCAATAAAAGAAAGAGCAAAAACCATACTGCTGAAACATGTGGAAGCAATAGGATTCGTTCTGTCATTTATCTCTGATAATAAAGCGGCATCAAGTCAGTACAAATACCCGTCGTTTTCCTTTAAAAGGCTCAGGGATTTCAAGGATGAGACGATATGGATTCCTTCTTTGGGTATCTAGTTTAATCTTTCCTGTGAAGGTCTTTGGAATGTGTCCCAGTGAACCAATGATTATGATTAAGGACACAAAAATGATTTTAATATCCGTCTTACTTCGATTCTCAAGTAAGATCCTGATATTTCCCCAACCTTTTTTCAAATATTTCCTTCAGTTTGTCGAATTTATCATTTGTCTGAACTTTGAAATTTGTTTTCAGTTTCGAATTCCCTACGACTTCGACTTTTAAACTTATCTTTCTTTCATATTTTTCTTTTTTCATTTTTTTCACATTACTGCTATCTTTTTTCGATATTTCTATTCCATACCATCTTTCATATTTTCATTGTTTTCTTTCTTTTTTTCACAATACTGCTTTCTTTTTTCCTCCATTTCTATTCCTTTTACCTTTCACATTTTCTTTCTTTCCTTCCTTTTTTTCACATTACTGCCTTTCTTTTTACTTTTCCTCCATTTCTATTCCTTTAATCTTTCACATTTTCTTGCAGTTTTCTTTTTTTCCTTTTTCTCTTCGCCTGCTGGGATCTCTCTTCATTCACTTGCTCTTTTTACCTTTTGCCTTAGTGCCGGGTATGACGGTAAACTACCTCCGGCAACAAAGACTTTGACCGGGAGATTGGAGGTTCTGGTTAGCGTCGAACCACCTCTTAATTGCTGTTGTTCCCAGGTCTACCTTGATGGCAGTATACCTGTTATGGACCCAGCAATAGGCAAATAGTGAGCCCCAAAACAAAAACAAAAAACACTGAAATAGTGAAAATGCCAGCCATACATTTTTATCTATATACCAGGTGTAACAGTAAAACTGTCCAAATCGTGTAACAGGATGGGATAATATTCCATCCCACAAAACGTTTAATATCTAAAATGCTACTAAACTGATTGAGTTTCTTTTTTTCCAGGTTTTCAGATAAGATGTTTAGCCATCTTGATACCATTTGTCGTAAGAATCCCTGAAAACCCCTTTGAGTTATTCAGCTAGAAAGAGAACAGTTTAAAATCGTTTTCTGTCAGCCCCACTATGTCTCCACAACTGAGAAATGGTGAGAGGAAAAAGATCATTCAGACCTTCAGTAATGGTACCAACATTCATACTCTGGCTTTCATCTTCAAAGTCCATTCAAGAACCATCAAGAGAATGGTGAATAAGTTTTTAACTGAGGGAACAGTAGAGAGGAAAACTGGATCAGGAGGTCACAACAGGAAGAGGGATGATCATTTCAGCTTAGAGATAAATGCATTCTTATTATTCAAAGCAGATTCCAATAGTATTAGAAAATTCCAGTAAGATATCTTTAATCATTTCTAAATCTAACAATTGGACAATTTTGCTGTTACACTCCGTGTATATAAATTAGCAAAAGTACCTATTTATAGAAAAATTAGCAACAATACATTTTAGCAGCAAAATGACCAGCAATTCATTTTATAGTAGAATTAACAGCACATTTTATAGCAAAATGATCAACAATAAATTTTATCTGTGGTTGAAGGCATACAATTGCGTTCAAAATATATTTAGTTGAAGCCATAATATTGTGTTCAAAATATTGGGATTTCAGCATTAAACAGCCGTCGAGGTGCTGGCATGCCGCTAAACAAGATGGGGTATCACGACGTGGAGTAATGGTTAGCAAATTTGTCTCGCTAGAACCATTGTAACTGAGTAGTGAGTTCGATCCTCACTGGATGCTCCACGCTTCTGGACACCTCGAACTGGTGTAATGGATAGCAAATTTGTCTCGCTAGAACAATTACGACTGTGCCCCCCCCCCTTATTGTGCCACAGAGAAAATCAGCATATGTCTCGAGATCATTTGTGAAGGAGTAACAGCAAGTATCCTCAGGTTCCCAGCACCCTTCTTAGCATCCTTACAAAACCTAACAACGCTGTCACCTGTATAGTCTCATCACTTCTTCGGATTTGTAACTCATGTCATCTCTATTCCATTGATTTGGGAACGGATCCAAGCGCGCCTAATATTGTCAGAAGGACCCTATTCTTCATATTTACCCCCTACCGGGCAAATTCCTCACTTGCTGACTCTCTCCCTATCACAGTAACATGAATTTCCATGCTAATAGTGCGTGATGTCTTAGCTGGATTGATTCGTTTTTTACAGGTTATTTAAAGCCAGAAAATATTTTTAGATTGTAAGAATTTTTTTTGAGAGAGAGAAAACGTCATGTTTTAGTGACACAAGTCTTACTAATTAACCCATAGCTGGAGGAAGAACAGGTGGATTCATACCTTTCCTAAGGTTATTTGCACGGAAGTGAATATAACGTACCGAATGAGAATTGGAATTCGACTCTTCGATTAACAATTCCTAACCGTTATCAATTATACAATCAGCCCATTCAAGCTTACATCACCTGGTATTATCAAGCGATCACTCACCTAAGTATTGACCAAGCTCGACATTGCTTAACTTCGATGATATTACAGGAATCGGTGTTTTAACGTTCATTCACTGGAGTTTGTACTCTCCTAACTGCATAAGCACCCTCTCTTATTACTCTTTTCGACTTCAATGATACTTTAATCTGAACAGTTCCTTGGGGGTTTTTTGGGGGGTTTTTTTTTCATTCCTTTTTTTTTTTTTTTTTTTCACTATTTACATTATTCGGACTATTGTCCTCATCTTTGTCGCCATATTTATTACAACGTTTCGGCCGTTGTACGCTCCGGCCTTCTTCAAGTGGTTGGAATATCGAACTGAACCCTTTATTTCGCTCACTGGGGTAGACTGTTCTAGTTCCACGTACCATGTCTAATGAATGTCAGTTATCAGTTATCTCCTGTTAATTCCCCTCTCCAAGTTCTCCACTGCCTTAACCGGGTATTGAACTCACACTGTTTTCGTTCTGTCACTGAATCTAACCAACGCCTTTATCCACTGTACCATGTGCCATATAGATACCTTTTTTTTCTTTTTTTTTCTTTTTGTTTTTCCTCTTTTCAACATTTTCAAAAGACTCTAATAATGGAGATTGTAATTCTTCTTATCAAATCCCCAAACCGCTTTCTTTTATTTCTTTAATAACGTCCAGATAATAAATTAATGTTTCCTTTGTAACTCAAAGAAGTTTTTATAGACATTCTCAAAATACATGTTAGAGGCTGAGGCGCAAAATATGCCGATAATTTAAACCATAATGATTGATCGCTTGATTCGTTTTCTAAGGCTTATCAATCATTTATAGGTTATTTAAAAGCAGAAAATATTTTAGATTCAAAGAATTTGGAGGGAGCTAATAAAGATTTAGTGATACAAGTCTTACTAATTAACCCATAGCTGAAGGAAAAGAGGTAGATTCATGAATTCCCCAAGGGTATTTTGCACGTAAGCGAATATCAGTCAGTTATGTGCCATGCTTGATACACGATTAGGCGATCATGTATTTTTCGATACATGACAAACGAGGCAGATTTTTCCCGCAGTAGGTTGCCATTTCTTTCTGCGGTAGACCAGTTGCCATCCAAGGCTATAGAAACCCGGTCTTCCCTGCTATTTACCCATACCTGGTGGGAGAAGAAGAGGAGTCATACCTTTCCAAAGGGTATTAGCACGTAAGTGAATATTAGTCAGTTATGTGCCATGCGTGATACACGCTTAGGTGATCATATATCTTTCGATACATGACTGACGAGGCAGATTTTTCCTGCAGTAGGTTGCCATTTTTCTGAAGTCTACCAGTTGCCATCCAAGGCTATAGAAACCGGAATGTCCTGCTATTTACCCACAGCTGGGAGAAGAGGATTCATACCTTTCCCCAAGGGTATTAGCACAAGTGAATGTGATGGATTCGACTGGAATTCGAACTCGGCTCTCCGATTCCTCAATCCGAGACGCTATCCATTACTCCACCGTAAAGAACCCAACCTGAATTGAAACTCAGATTAACAATCCCTTGCCATTATCCACCACCTACACACCCAAGCTTACAGCACGTGATATTCCCAGGCGGTCACCCATCTACTTACTGACCAGGCTCAACGTTGCTTAACTTCAGTGATTGTACCGGATCGGTGTTTCAACATGATATGGCCGTAATCAAACCATAAAGAGTCATCACTATTTATCGGTTATAATCAAAAGGCGTTTCGGAGACTAAAAACAAAGTGATTCCAATGCAGATCGGAGTTATGTCTACCTTTTTGTGAAATTGTGATATATTATGAATTATATTTGACATTAAAGAGCTAAACAAGGTTTGAAATGTTGTTAAACACACTTAGCTAACCCAACCAAAGCTAAAACAAAAAGGTACTTTCATCCTACGTCCACGGAATCGAATAATTTACATCTCCTCCGTATTCCATTTGTAAGGAGTAAGCTTTTTCCCGAGGACTGTTATTCTAGGAAACAAACTCCCAAGTGGATACTTCTCTGAATGCTACAATATTAACCTTTTAAAATCAAGGGTTCATCTCTTTACATCCTCCTTATCCTCATAATATTCACTTTTACTACCTTCTTCTCCATTCATATCACACCCCACTCTGTAAATTTCTAATTTGAGTGGCTTTTGTCTCTTATATTGAGCTAAATTTAGTATGAAAAATTAACAGATATAATCAAAATACGTTTTATAATCTAAATCATTCATACGTTTTGCTTTAAACAATAAAGAACTTTCTAATATATTGGCTCATAATACGATTCAGGGGCTAAAAATGAAGTATTTTCTATTTAGCACTTTAAAAGTTTTTATTTTATTTTGTGGATACTAGTATTTGAGTAGAAGATGCGTTTATTTATTAAACAGTACATTTATTACGCCCGCATCCTAGGTAAGACGATAAACTACATCCGACAACAAGGCCTTTGATCAGAAGGTTTTGAGGAACGTGGAATCACCTCTTAATTGCTGGTGTTCCCAGGTCTACTCTGACCCGACGTAGTAGTAACTGTTAGAGTCCCAGCTATGAGCAGATAGTTACCACCCCCACCTCCAAAAATTAGTCAAAACACTATGAAAGTATAAAAATAGGTTTTAATACCAGCAATACCTTTTTGGAAAATTTTTTACCAGCAATACAGTTTTGAAAAAAAAAATATTGCCAGCAATACATTTTTGGGGAAAAAAAATATTACCAGCAATAAAAATTTTGTCGGCATTAAATAACCCATTGAGGTTGATATACCGTAAAACAAACCAATATATTTATTTATTTTCTTCAAGAAATCTTATCAAAGAAAAATATGTGCCCGCCAGCATGAATCGAACATGCGTCCCCCTAGACAGGGTGTACCGCCGTTGGATCTGACGTGATCTGAGCTACAGGGAACTTAGCCGAGCAGAAATTGAATAGTGCCTTTAAGCGATATTCCTCTTGTATATAGGAGGAGTACCAGACCATATGAGGTATGGCAATATTTTAATCATCGACGAATCGTGGACTTGTAAATATATAAGATAGATTCGAATGGGAAAAAATGGTCTAGCACTATACAGGGAATCAACATTCTTAGAAGCAGACCGACCAGTTGATTCGATATAATCTTTCCATTTCATGTCAGCGGAAAACATTAACATTTAGATGCGTTAAGATTAATAAGCCATTTCTTGTTTCATTCATTTGAATCGTGCGTTTTTAAATATAAACTTGTTTGAAAATAATTTTGTATAAAAGAAATTTTTATATTCATAACACGCTCGTTGCATAGATTACTTTTATATATTTTATGGTAAGTCATATCCGTTTTACAGTATTAAACTTCTGTAAAAGCTTTTTTTCACTGCCATATTTACGAATTTTCACTGGACGCTATATTTATGTATTTTCACTGAGCGCCATATTTACGTATTTTCATTGAGCGCCATATTTGCGTATTTCTCCGTTCAACTTTGTCGATGTCTCTCGTATTCATTTGACTTCTCATAATTCTTATCTGCTCAGTTTCGCATCTAAACATAAACAAAGCAATTTTTCAAGAAGTAATAGATTTTTATTTATTAATCCGACACATGTTATCACTTTAATCGTTATTTGTCTAGTGGTTACACGTAATTGAGTAGACGTTCCGTTTATTTATTAAACTGTATATTTATTTATGTTCGTTTACCAGCCTGAATATTCAAGAAATCTTATTAAATAAAAATATGCGCACTCCGGCAAATACAATTATCCACTAAATAAATAACGCTCAAAATGATAAAATCTGTCGGTTTAATAAATAAAAATCGATTACATCTTTGGAAAATTACATTTTCTTTTATACCACAAACGACCATCACTTTTTAAAGGATATAAAATGTGTAGAATGCTTTAGATTAAACTGATCAATATCACACAGCAATGAATGTCTTTGACCAGTCCTTACGTTTTCACTAAAAATAAATCCCCAAAGATATAAAAATGGCCATAGGCGTGAAAGTAAGTCGGCAAAGAATAAACCATTGGCAGTTTAGGAAAGTTAGATTAAATTTCTGTAACAATATGGTTTACAGAAGCGTCACACGAGACAATATAAAAACGGTTACATACATTTATCAATAAAATAAAATAAAACTTTTAATGGAATCGTGCAAACGATCAAATGAATACTAGAGACATCGACAAAGTTGAACGGAGAAAATACGTAAATATGGCGCTCAGTGAAAATACGTAAATATGGCGCTCAGTGAAACATACGTAAATATGGCGCTCAGTGAAAAAAGATATTGCAGAAGTTTAATACTGCAAGACGGATGTGACTTACCACCAATAATATAAAAGTAATTTATGCAACGACTGTATTATGAATATAAAAGTTTCTTTTATACAAAATTATTTTCGAACAAGTTTATATTTAAAAATGCACATTTCAAATGAATGAAACAAGAAATGGCTTGTTAATCTTAACACATCCAAAACTGCTCTCTGTTAATCGTGTGAGAGGACACTTTCTGCTTTCCATTAGTATGGCTAATGCTAACCTCTATGGGAGTGAGTCGTTGCACCTTTTCGGGCTAATGTTTTCCGCTGACATGAAGTGGAAAGGATATATCGAATCAACTGGTTGGTCTGCTACTAAGAATGTTGATTCACTGTATGGTGCTAGACCAATTTTCCGATTCGAATCTATCTTATATATTTACAAGTCTACCATTCGTCCATGATTAGAATATTGCCACACCACATATTGTCTGGTGCTTCTGCTATATATTTAGAGATTCTTAATAAAATCAAAGGAAGAAACTGCAATGTCAATGGTCTTGACCTGGCATCTCGACTTCAATCACTTTCCCACCGCATTAAGCTAGCTTCCCTATGAATTTTTTCTATATACACTTTCACATTAATTATTCTGACGCTATTTTGTTTAGTATAAAATCGTAATCATCGTAAATATTAATCGGAGTTTCATTTGTTTAATGTTATTTTTACTCCCTCCTCCTCGGACTAATTGTACACATGGGAATTAGATAGGACTTCATAGAGACTTGAGGTATTATGGTGACTGTAGTAAGTGTTAAATAAGAATGTGTTGCTATGTGTGGACACTGTGGTATGTTTGGGTCAGTAATCGTGGCTAGTTAAGTTTAAGATAAGACAGATTGAAGACCAGCCTTTCCCTATATACCGTTTTAGCCTTGTACCACATTTTTTATTATTCAAAATAAATATTACTTTCCTCTATGGTAATTCCCTCTCCTCTCCCCATTTAGGTGACCAGAAATATCAGTTCTCCGGTGAATGTGACACGCCTTTCGTCTTTTCGAATAGGCTTTCCGTATTTTTTGTTGTGTTTGAATGAGTGTGTATTTGAGTGTGTTATATTCTGTACTAAGGGAATAAACACATAACACAAGGTGGATAATAGAAGAAAGGTTTATTGTACACAACCAATACAATATGTAATACGGTACAGTTATACACACAGGTCAATCTAGTAGTGAGTGCCACTAATTGGAAGGTCAGACGTGCTTGTGTCTTCTCTCTCACTCCCCCTTCAAGTCTCTCGTAGACAGTTTGACTTTATAGTTACTTACTATCTATAGTGTAATCATTCATGGGGGTGACTAGTTATTCCATTACATCAGAGTGACTGCTTGAGCGAATGATTGCTTGAATTATTTAAGCTCCGCATTAATTTTGTCCAGTTAACTGATGTGTCTGCAACGATCAAAGATTGTGGTGATGGGGGGTATTACTTACACTATTTTCTTTAGTTTCTTGTATATAAAATTGTAATCATTGTAAATATTCATTGGAGTTTCATTTTTTTAATGTTGTTATTTTTACTCCCCCCCACTCAGACAAATTGTACATATGGGAACTTGTTAGAACTTCATAGAGACTCCGAGGTATTATGGTGACTGTAGTAAGAATGGTAAGTAAAAATGTGTTGTTTTGGTGAAAGTAGTACTGTGATATGTTTAGGTCAGTAATTGTGGCTAGCTAATTTTATGATAAGACAGATTGAAGACCAGCCTTCACCTATCATTCCTTTTGGCGTTCAAGTGATCATCTACGGGTCTCTACCGTCTAAACTAAGAAACTGATGCTTTCATAAGAAACGTGAAAACGTAGTAGTAAGCAAGTGAATAAACATACTATATTTGTAATAACTTGTAAGTTAAGAGAGCTGAAGAAACTGATTTTTTTGCACACCAGTAGCAGAATCAAGGAAGGTTTCATCATTTTACAGTCAAAATGGCTCGATGTAACCGTAAATTTTATACTAACAGTGGAACTCTCTTCCGGCTTCTAGCTTCCCAGTCAACTTTGATGTTCAAAAATTTAAATGTAATGTCAATCGTTATCTTTTGTTTTCTTTAATAGTTTTTTAATTTTTCTCATTGTCTTTTCATTAACCCCTTGCATCTTAGTGGCTTTATTGTCTTTCTTGGGTGAAATTAATCAAAATTTCATGCCAAAAATCATGTAAGGGATTTTCTTTATCTCAAATGAGGTGACATTGCATCCTGCTACCGGGTGAGTATCTGCGGGCCTCTTCTAAACGGGAAAAATGCAAACGTAGTGTCAAGCAAGTGAATAAAAATACTATATTTGTAATAACTCGTAAGTTAAGACAGCTAAAAGAACTGATTTTTTTCAATAGCAGAACCGTTAATCTATCCTAAATATCTTCGTACTGGCTTTTATGATGAAAATAATCAAATATATTCTGAAAAAGCCCGTTTCAGAGAGGAAAAACGAAAAATATTTAGAGCTTTTCGAACAGCTTTCTTTCCAAGAGTCGCTACTTTATGGAACATTCTCAGGAAAAACTGTTAACACAAATTTTAACGTCTTCCGGTCTATCCTTCTTCATAATGAGTCTTGCTTAACCCTGTGGTCGTGACCAGACGTTCTGATTCTTGCCATACACCGCCTGTACCAGAAGATGTCTTGGACCTCATGGTCGTAGGACGACGAATTGATTGCAGGGTCAATTCTACGCTGTTCGATACTGTCGCGGTTCAACGGTCGTTGGTCGCTGTCCACTTCAGTCACCACCCTGCTCCGCTCACACTGTGTTTCTTGATCACGGAGCTGTTAGGGATCGATTAATTGTCAGTATCGTAGCGCTGATTCAAACTACGGCCAGCTGTGCTATGATGAAAAAAATAGAAATGTTTTTTTTCCCGACGTAATAAAAACGAAAAAGTCTTCGGGTCAATTTTCGATTTGGTTTTATGTAGTTCTTGGTATAACAAAAATTAAACCTTCCCACTAAAATCTCTTTAGTGATACTTTTGCCTATCGGTGCGACTCTCTTAGAACAGGGATCAAAGTCGGGAATTCTCTCGGCAGTAGGTCACGTGGGTTTCAACATCTCCTTCGCCGCTGTCTCGTCTCGTCTTCTGTCTGCAACTCCAAATGTGTCACTCGAGCACTCCGCTTACATTGACTTTGATTCAAAATCGGAGCGGGGGGGGGGGATATGACGATGTTTGGGAATCTGGGATTTCCCCAAGTTTTCTGTAACGATTACAACAAATTTTCTTTGTTTTCTGGTTTGTAATATTAATTATCTCTCCAAATTTGGGAGATCCCCCTCTTCCTACTGGTAGTGGTTGCAGGTAGGTATTGGCTCTCCTGTATAACTAATTCCTTCTCTTATCTATGTCTCGCACCATTACTTACAAATGGGCGGAGATAATTTCTCCGTCTCTTTTGGTATCTCCTCTAAGCCCGCCACCTCAGATGTTTCTTTGACAAGTTCAACTTTCAAACTGTGTGGGCAAAAAGGCAGTCTCAACTTCTGCCTTTGTCCCCCAAATTATCAAATATTATACTCAATTGACTCCTTTCTTCCTGGTTATCATGAGACATCGTCTCATCACTTGCACCTTTTTTGCAAGCGAACATAAATCTATAT